AACGCCCTGTCGGCTTCGACAACCCGCCACAGACATAGTGACTTTATATACAATTAGTTTTAGTTAGTTTATTGTAATCANTATAGTAGATTAACTTAGTAATAGTTCTAGTTAGCAATTAATTAAATAATTAATTTTATTGTAAATCTAGGAATTGTAATCTAAACATTTTAATCGTGATTTTAAATTTTTAGCAAAGTTAAATTTAAATACACGACCCCACAAGCTTTTAGCTTTAATTATTATCGTGTTTAAACAAAGTTTACCTATCTATCTATCTATCTAACATTGTTCAGCGATGTCGTTTTAAGCCTAAGTAGATTATTCCATACTGATGCATTGATTGACTGGACATTGTGCTGTGAGCTGTCTTTGATCTTACACTGTGTTACACTGTGTACAAAAGGGTTAATAACGAACTATCATTGCACAATATGTTAGAACCTGTTTAGAGTGGACACCCTGTATTAATACAGGTTTCACTGTACCGGTATTACCCCCCTTAAATACGTACATGAAGACCTAACAAGATCTGCAGATGTTAATGACATACTTATACAAGAACATATCGAGAATAACTAAACCTTCTCTTTTCTCGTTTTCTTTAGGAGATCTCTGGTTGCTTAAGATGAGGTGGATTTAAAAATTCTAGGTGAGTTTAACAAGTTTAATTTGCTGAAGACAGTTGCATATTTTCTACTTAAAAATTAGATTATGAGCTCGAGAATTTTATCGCATGATAGTTGACGAGGGCGCAGCCGGCGAGTCAAATATCACGCCCAGAAATCTTGAGCTTATAATCTAATTGTTTTAGTATAAATCTAGTAGTCATTCAAAACTTTTATCTAAATCCTCTTCAAAGACAATTTGATAACGCAAAGAAGCGTCCGCCCGGCGCACAGTGCTAGGCTACTCATTATCTCCAACAGAATAGACAGTGAGTAGCGTAGCCAATCAGAGACCGGCATTTGTAATAGAACGCTGGGTAGAAGGAATACAGTTCAGTAGCTGAATCAGCCGGAGACCAATCGGCCACCAATCGGAAACTAATCGGAGACCAATCGGCCCCGCAAGCTGAATTACCCTTTCTCCTGGCGCCAGTTGTTAGAAAAATGACTTGTGTGTGCCTTCTGCGAAAAGGTTTCACAGTGTAAATCTGGTGCTCCCAACTTTTTAAAAATTCGGCTTGTTGTCTACTGCCTCCTTTGAGGTTATTCCAAGGTGGGAGGGGGCGGGGTCAGGAGCTCATCACCCAGAGCCTCCATACGTACTATAACGTAGAGTCAACCCTTTCCTAGGGTTGACTCCTAATTAGAACTGTAATTAGCGCAAGGATCTCTTGGTTTCGCAGGAAATATCTTGTTTCTGTAGATAGAAAATGCAAAATAGAGGGGAAAAGTGGGATCTCAGTCTTTGTTGTAACAAAGAATTGTCTTAGCTCGGGTATCATTGGGTATTGAAAAGGGGTCGTGTAGAAAATCCCACAAGAGCTGTTTCTAAAAATAGAAAGATAGGGGAAAGGGTTGACTCACAGGGTCAGTTTAGAAGATGGAGGCTCCCGGTAATGGTTCCTGGGCATGGTACTAGAGCCGCGTATTTTGACCTGAAATGGGAAATATTTTGTTCTCTGGTCTGGAATTGGGTGAATTTAACAAACAGATTGTGAGCTCGAGATTTCTATCACGTGATAGTTGACGAGTGAACTATCACGTGATAGAAATCAGGAGCGAATAATCTGCTGTTCATTCAAGTAAATTAATTAACCAAATCCTCTACACAAACACTTCGAGAACGCAAAGAAGCAGCCACTATTTTGCTAACAACCGCACACTGCTAGGCTACTCACTATCTACAACAGAATAGATACATAGTGAGTAGCGTAGCCAATCAGAGAACGGCATTCATGATAGACCACCAGTAAATTTATACTATCATGTTTAGTTGAAACTGGTTTTTTCCCTCATTGAAAATGGAGAAATTCCAAGCCTCGTTTCAAACGTTGACGCAAATGAAAACCATCCCTGGTTAGTTAAATTCATGTATTAGTGAGGTGAACCAGATTTTAGAACTGTAAAATGGTGATCAACTTTTGGGGGAGGTCTGAAAGAGGGTATCGCAATTCACATAATTTGCCGGGTCTGCAGATGTTGGTGGAATAAAGTACCCAACCCCTTGGAATAGTTCTATTCTGATATCTGGTTTTTTTTTTTTCTTTTTTTTTTCTTTCTTTCTTTCTTTTAAGGCCCACTGCGGAAGACAGAAGCTATATATGACATTAATTGCGCTAAAATACCACACCAGTGAAGATTGGAAACTTACAAAGAATGGCGGAAAATTGTGAAACGGGTTTGACATAAGCCCTACGTTTGTCGATTGCTGTAAACTATCTTTCTGACGTGTGTAAATAAAAGTAACTTTGAGCTTCTCCCGTTGTGTTATGAGTTTTCATTTTTCTGTCGCAGCACGGTAGAAAATTTGAAATTTTGACTTTCTTAGAAATATATCAAAATCTGTCTTGCAGATTTTCATTTTATTTTGCTTGGAAGTTTAATCAGAAACAAACTATATTCCTGAAATTTTGAGGTAGGATGGTTGGGTAGATTTCGAGAAAATCGTCGCTTAAACTAATACTCGTTCCCGGGGTCTCTCTTAGGGCGGGGAGAGAGATACCCTGGAAACGAGGTTGAGGCTCAGTCTTCCCTGAGTGCTCGGTCGTTCATTTAGTAAGAGAGTTTAGAGACTTTAACTCATTAAAGTCTAGAGACTTTCTTAAACTCATAGCTGCCATCAAAGATCTGCAGCATTTACTGCTGGCTGAGGAGTGAGCTAAGAATTTAACTGATACACAGCAGAGATTACAGCATCTCTCTCCAGGCCTTCTATAGCAGTTGTATTGTCTCAGTGTTGCGTGAAACTTATGTAGCCGAGGGGTGGGGGGAGGGGGAATTTGTCGTACGTGCCTGCTCCCAATAAAGCGTTTTCACATGACGTCATGGCAGCCATATTGGTGTTCCAAAACAATGAAACGGCGGCCATGTTGGTGTGCCAAACCAATCTCGCGGGAGTTGAACTCTTTTCGATAGTGTGTTTGTTGGTTCTCGTAACATTTGGTGTGTCAATTGATTTGTCACGTGACTCGACGTTTAAAGAGAAAGGGAAAACATCCTTTGGAATAATTATGATTTACAAGAGAGTTAAAAGTTGGCCTCTTTCACGAAGGGTGCTCACAAAAGTTTATCCTCAGATTCATTTTGCCATGTGACTGAAATGCAGCATTGTTTCAAAAAAAAGGTTTAATTATCATCATGGAGCAATGAAATTTCAGACGACAGCGATAACGACAGGCGACGGTCCGCAATCGAAATAAATTTAAATTTACATTTAAGACAAAGATCTACAGCGAAAGGGAATATTGCATGCTGGGTGGATAAATCGTCCAGGAAACGTCGATAAAGGAAATTTCTCAATCTCCGAAACATAATTCAGTTTATATCAATGACTGAAGAGCTACTTACTGCAGTAATTGTCGATTTGTAATCTAACTTTGTTCAACTTTTGTGAACGACTTGTTGACTTAATTAACTGTTCTTAGGATACAAGTGTTATTTACCTAATGACCGTGCAAAAAAAAAATGCTAATTTGACTCAGAGTTGTCGTGGATATTATTAACCAGATGCGAGCAAATGAACGGGCAAATTATTTTTGCCGGTTTCATCCAAAGTTACAATTTGTTTTGTTTTTTTCGTACCGAATTTTATCGTTATAAAAAAGAAGTACATTTTTAATAGTTCAAACCGTCGTTTTGTCGAAATATTTGAAAACTTCAAATCTCTTTCTTCTTATTATCTTTTTGGCGTTATGTTTCGACTGTTGCGTTGCAGTTCGTAATGTGCACGAATTATCAATTTCTTAGCTCGCCTACCAAACCTTAAGTTTTCTTAAGTTTTATTTCCTTCATTTACACTCTGTTATTGAATTTAGCAAGAAGAGAATCTTACAATTTATCATAAAAATCGTAAATCAAACATGCATTCGAACATTATTTTAAATAAAATTTGCCTGTACATGTATTCGCTCATTATAACAACACAGCCTTCACACACAATTAATAAACTGAATTTACGACTCCACGGTCTCTGTAGTATTCCTTAAACTTGAAAGAAGAAAGGATTTTGAAAATGTTTCATTTGTCTTTTTATGGAACAACAAGAATTCTGTCGGTGTGGTTTCCCTTGGAATAAAAATTCATTCCCTACACTTCATTTCGATATGATCCAGTCATGATAATTTCCATGTCAGCCCTCTTTACCGGCAAAACTTTATCTCGAATAATGACTATTTCCTTCCAGTGAACTCATTCAGAAGGAATATAAACTAAAACAGATGGTTTTCACAATTAGGTTCTTTGAAAACTGAGTATTATCTTTAATGTTTTATGCTGTGATAATTGTAGCTTATCAGAGCTTTTCCGATAATGATTATTGAGTCATAAATTAGCATAATCTTGTTGGCACATTAAAATTTATATTGACCTAATTAATAACTGAAATTTTCCGTTTCCACTCCAGAAAATTAAACAGAAACACTCACTGTACAAGCAAAGTTTTAAAGTTTCTAATACCCTCAGCATTACAAAAAGAAAAGTCCAAACAGCACTCTTCCCTTGTAGTCTTTCAAGTACGCTTGATATTATCCGATGAGACAGCTTTAGTATTAATTGACAGCACGAGTCCTGAATAGAATTGCTGATCACACTCGTGTTATTTCAAGCATGTTACAGGAAATATTAAAGCCCACCTCTCAAAACAACATGTGCCTTTCATATAACTGCTTTGCAATCACCAAGGTAATGATGAGATAATTTCATTTAGGAATTTAGCTGAACAACACTACAACAACGAAAATTGAGAACAGATTAATACCCAATACATCTGGTAAAGGAAGTAGCAGTTTTCGCTGTGATAAATGTCTATTAAGTTATCTCCACCTTTTCTGTTCTCAAGTGAAAGCGGATATTGTCGTCCAGGCGAGAGGAGACCGTCACGAACTGTGGCTCAAGTCACGTGATTAAAACACCAGCGTTGACTCGTATAAAAGAGCGGGAAACAGTGTTCATTTTGCTTTTTTTGACAAGAAAATCAAAGACAAGGTGCTTCGTAAATTGAGGTAAGAAACAAGGATTTAAATGTTTATGACCAACTGCCAACTACTGTGAGCATGTTTCATTAAAATCTTCATAGCACGCTCTAAAAAAAAAAGATAATGTGATGCGAAGTATTATGAACTATATTTTATATGAAAATTCTACGACTGGTTGAAAACACTTTTGGTGCGTAAATTAAATCCTTGATTTTGAACTCGTAAGCTGAGATGTATACTGAATAGAAATGATGCCATTTCAAGAACGTAACAAATTTTCAAACTAGTTTATTTTCTTAAGAAAAAAACCCACAATTTTCTCTGAGAGATAAGTGCTACCATAATATAAAACATTTTCTTCTAAAAAAAAGTAGGTCTTCGGACACAAGCCGTAGGCGAGTGTTCAAATTTACACTTCTTCCTTGCTCTGGTCACGTCCTGAGTGCTTTTCAACTGCTCAAAGCATGTTATAACAGAACAAAGCACGATTAAGGATATACCTATATCCTATATAAGTAAAACTTAAATCAAATCTATAGATATCCGATTTTCCACAAATAGAGTTACAAACCGATGTTCTCTGCTCTTAAACAATGCCTTATCACTGATGGTTATTCAGTCACTTTAACTTAGTAAAAGTGTTTCCTTATTCAAATTGAATAGCCAGCTTATGACGGAGATTGAAGCTCAGTAGAACTTCATCTCCAAAGACAATTCACAGCAGCTGGGCTTTGGATAATAACAGAATTATGCCTTTAGTCTGTTTTATCGCCTACACAATGGTTTCACATCGTTAACACAGTCGAAGCCGGCCTTTTGTCACGGTGTTAAACCCGTAGTGTTATGTTGACGATCGACAGCGTGGATTGATTTCAAAGTTTCCTATAGTAGCTCTGCGACAATCAAAAAGCCAGGAAATGACACGTCACATCATATACGTTGTAACATGACGAGGCGTAAAAATATGAAGGCAAATGTTTTATGAAAGTTCTTCTAAATTTTGCTGAAAAGTTCAAAGCAATGAAAAACCATCCTCGAATTCATTGATATCAAACATGTTTTTGCCATTCAACGCTTGCCAGGCAAACGGGTATTTTAATTTTTTCCAATTTTTACAGTGCATAGCAACTGAAGTACAGTATATTAGTTACAACCAAGAGATTATCAAGGTAAGAGAGTGAATCCCCCGTCCTCTAGTAAGGTAATCACTCTTAAGTTATTTTTAGACATGGTACCCAGTTCTTCTGAGGATTGTACTCGCGCGATGCATGGACAGCCCAAGCGATTTTCTCGAAAATACCTGAGACGAAATGGCGGGAACGTCATTTTATGTTTTCATTTCGTTTCAGAGCAGAAGTGTTTTCTGCACTATCAACCGTCTTTTTGTTCGCCCGGGCTTTCGTTTGTTTTGTGCTCGTTTGGCTGTTCATTATTTGGCTGTTTAGTCGGTTTTAGGAGGTTTAATTAAGCAAACTTTAACGGCAACGGCAACGAGTTCAATGGCTGTGTAAACGTGCGTTATAATTCTTTGTTCATTTCTTTG